GGATGTGGGTGTTTATAGCCGATCTCATTCAATGTCTCACGGTGAAACACACGAGATCTCGTCTTGTCTCAAGAGAAATATCGGTAATATCGCAAACGCTTCTCCTCGACTTGAGGCTTTAGTTTCTTGTGACTTCCACAGACGTGTAATTCTCGCTGTGTTTTTCCAGCATGCTTTGACAACAACTTGCTTCTTCATGCGCCATCTTCTGGGTAAAATACAGAAGTGCATTCAGACACCATTTTAGCATTATATGCTGTGATATTGGTTTCATTGGTGTAGAGGATGAAACTCCGTTTTTGGGACAAAAAGGGACAAAAGTGTAAAGTTTAAGGGCGGCAGCAAACACAGAACGGTCATGAAGGTGCGGTTCACTGTTGGACGTGGTTTTAAACATGACCAGGGTCCAGAACATGGTGGTTTTGGTTCTGAAAGAAACTCCCAGTCCTTGTCTTTAGGTTTTATGGTGTGTACTTGTCCTTCTTCAGGCTCCACTTCAGCATGAAAACACACAAATATACAGATATATAATAAGAAAGTGAATAAAAAGGTTTGATGGTTTATTTTACAGGATCAAATCTCCGACTCAGCAGCACTGCTGCAGAGCCGCTCCAGTCCTTAAACTGAATGAGTCTCTCCTCTCTCTGAAACCTCCACGGCTGCCAGAACGGTTTAGTCGGGTGTCATTAGCTCAGATTGGTTTGGAGGAACCTTTCAGCTCTGCTGAATGATGGTGGTCTGTGGTGGACTACAGCGGCTCTCACAGCTGCACACCGACGTTTGTTTGTTACTGAATCACAGCGGGGGACATCTAGCTGTGTGCAGTTCTTTCTAGGACCAGGTTCTAGTAACCTGCACTGACCCAGGTCATCAGGGGACGGTCTCAGTCTGGGGGGTTTGGTCCTTGACTGAAACTGAAATTTACGACAATAACCGAAATCATTTTGCTGATATCGGTGTATTCGATGTCAAATGAATAAATAAATCAAAGTTGGTTTAGGATTTGTGAAGGTAGGCTATGGCCTCATGTCTCTTTAACCCCCAATTTCCAACTCATCCTGATCGTCTCCTAAAAGGTCGTATCCTCCGATCGTAGCTGATCGTAACCATTCAAGTTAACGTGTCAATTTACACCGACTTCTTTCCGTTCCTCTGAGGATCGCCGGACTCCTCAGCTGATCACAAGAGTTCTATTTTTTCTGGACGCCGGAGCATGGCGGATAAATTCAGCACAGATGAACCCGTGCTGGAAAGGAAGTCGGGCACAGACACAAAATAAAACATCCGGCTTCTTTTCAAAATAAAACACTCCGTGTTTCAGGAGGATCGTATTTCACACCATGCAAACGGGCGGAGACGAACAAGTGAAAGGTTTTTAGACGTCATTTCACCCCGATGACACCATGGATGAGGAGATGCTGATTCTAGAAGTCTAGAAGTAGATTTCCTCCTCTGGAAGGACACAATCTACTGCTTATATGTCTATGTGTCTGTCTTTAGAGAGACAACTTGTTATCATGTGATTGAACGTGAATCTGCGGGTTCTTGTGAGTTCTCGCGATTACCACGAAATTGGCCTCACAAACAGATCTGGTCGAAATTGGTGGACGGGAAAAATCTATACGTTCTTGATCGGAGCCAGTCCAGATGTGGTGTAAATTCGGATTAAGATGTTGTCCTACGTCAGAGACGTGACTCCACCCCATCCAGTCAGTAACAAAGAGGGACAGACAGGTGAGGAGATGGAGGACGGAGAGAAAGTTGGAGCGGCTGAAGTAGATGAAGTTAATGTGAGAGGGGGTGAGCAGCTTGTGGAGTAGTTATCGTCCATTTATCGTTATCGAGGTGAACTGATCAATTTATCGTGATATTGATTTGAGGCCGTATCGCCCAGCCCTAACCTAAAATATAAAGTTACTTCCTGGGACCCTCCAGACTTGATTATCTCAAACTTAATTCAGGTTTTGGTTCTGAAAAGTTCTGTGTTTTTATTTAATCAGGTGTAAAATAATAACGACACTTGTGCAGCAGAGCTAAGTGCTCTGTGGCAGGTGTGTGATGTTTGTTATGAGTTTGATATAAATATCATGATAATAAGATGATCATGAATATTCACGTGTGTGCTGATACTGTGATATCCTGTCAGTCTGTGTGTCGTACCTGCAGCAGTATTTATATATGAACCTGAACCTGTTCATGCAAACACACGCTGAGCTCCGTCTCCAACAGCGGCAGCGCTCAGATGACATCTGTATTTATGGCATCAACCTTGCACTGTAGACACAGATAATTAACAACGGGGGCGAGGGAAGCAGATCCTCCCATCTTAATGAAGTTAATTAATAGATATAAATAATCACCTTCAGCGTGTCTTCATTTGTTAAGCTATAAAACGGCGTGTTAAAAAGCTCATCTCGGTTCTGTCGTGAACAATATGCCACCTCTCTCAGACTCCGACACCACAGATGGCGTTCGGGTGTCATCTCACTAATTTGTAGTGCAGCCTTAACGCGCCGGCACCGTCTCGGACTTCCAAAGAAGAGGCTGCGGCTAACGGCCAAGTTTCTGTGACAAACTTATGGACCGCCAATCTGCCGGAGGAGAGGAGTCTCACACTGAAGTGAAAAACCATCTGCATTCTTTTATTCCTGAGCAGACACGCCGAGGTGGAGCACAGTTTCCCTTCTCGGGCGTTTGCTCGTTATCAGACAGGTTTGATTAATCAATTAACACCAAAAGTTAATGAGCAGAGAGACAACAGCTTCTTGTTTTGATGCCAAGTCCACGCAGAGAGTGTCTTTCTCTGGCAGGGACGCAGAGGAGGAGGTGGAGGGCGTCCAAGGGCAAACGCAGGAAGGACAGCAGCAGCACGTATTTCCCTAACAAATCCAAAGACCGCTCAGCTGTGGTGTGTCCTCGCCGCAAACATGCATGCCCACACGCCTGGGCAGAGAGCGTTCAGAGACCTGCAGACGGCGGCGGTGGCGGTGGCGTTGGTTGTGATGAATGTGCGTGGCTGGGGGCCCCGCTGTAGTCCTTGTCGGTGTCTTAATCACTCTCTCAGTGTGTTTCATTAGCTCCTGATGCTCTTTGATGAATGGACTCGCCCTGAGTGTCCCGCCGTCTCTACTGATGATGTCACCATACAAATCGACCCCCCCCTCCTTTTGCACAGATTGGCAGGTGTGTGTGTGTGTGTGTGTGTGTGTGTGTGTGTGTGTGTAAAGGTACGATGATCATGAGCACAGTCTGCCTCTGAATTCATTAACCTACATCTGAAGGATAATTCAGGCGCTCTGACGGCCATATGTGCTTTCATCGCTGGATTCTCTCCCACGGCGGGGATGGACCGCGAGTCGATGGGCAGTTTAATAACACGTGCAGATGGCCTGTGGTGTTTCTTCATTCTTACTGCTCCTCTCTTCTTATCCTCCTCTCATCTGGGAACGCTGAACTTCTGTTGCACTCTCCAGTCGCTTCACTTGCTTCCTCTGTAATCCCCACAAATATGGCGCGTCTCCGATTCCTCTCAGCGATGTGTTGTTCATGAACTGATGAGTGAATGATGTGAATGGAATCACTCCAAGACCTGATTCGTTCCTTTTTCAGTTCAGTTGAGCTCAGCTGCGAGCCTGACGTGTCGGTCGGGAATGGAACTGACGCCTTTGACTCTTTGGCGAACATGATTTGTTCACAGCGAATGAACGACATGTATCAATCAGTCTGTGAACGAAACGAACGACTTCTCGAACGACTTCTGAACGACTTCTGAGGAGGGAGGGGTGTAGCATCGTTCATGATCTGCCGAGCACCGATTCGTTCTCTGAGGCTAAGTCTACATTCACTCTGCAGGTTCTGATGCACAATTCGGATTTTTTGTTAAATCCGATCTTTTTGTGCGGTCGTTCACATGACAACAACAACGAATGCAGAATCTAATGTGAACGGAATACGTCCATGAAGTGACCCGCATGAACACAAATTTCTTTCCTCGCCTGTTTGTGTCGTCGAACAATGGTGACGTTTGTCGCACATTGATGATGTAAAGGTCGGATGAAGCGACCTGAGCGTCACACTGCAGTCACATCAGATACATATCTGATTTATATCCACATACAGAAGAGGCCTGGGAGGATTAGAACCAATCAGAACTGACCTGTTCACACTTAGATTAAAAACTCAGATATGAGTCACAGATGGTTAAAAAATCAGAACTGACCTGCAGTCTGAACGTGGACTGAGATAAATCAGGTCATTATAGTTTCTTTACATTAAAACACGTGTTCAAACTTTCCTGTAAGAAGATTTAGTTTCACATGATTTAAAGAAATACTCTGATATCTTTAAACGCAGCAGAATCCTCGCTACAGCTGCCATAGTTATTTATTTTTAATCTCGCCACTTTCAGCCAAACAAAAGAACGACGACTCGTGCTCGTTTAGCGGCGTGCTGCTCGCTGCTGTGTTGTTTCCGCCGACGGCGACACACAGAGAGGTGAGTCTTTGGTGGCATGGTGTCCGTCTAACATGAGTCTGGTCCTTCCTGAGGTTTCTGCCTGTTAAAAGTTTTTCCTCGCCACTGTTACTCATGTTTGTTGAGATGGGCCAAAACCATCTTAGGTCGGTTCTTGATCATCAAACAGTGAGCGTGGTCCAGACCTGCTCTGGTTCTTTGAAAAGCGTCTTGTTGTTAATTGGCGCTTTATAATAAAATTTGATTGATTTGATTTGAGTCTTTGAGGGCGGGGGAGCGATTCTTCCTTCAGGACTTGGCGAATGAACGACATGTGAACGAACTCGCCGCTGTGTCCCTCACCGGTGTGCTGCAGCAGCAGGACGGGGCTCCGAAGCTCTGACTGATTCAGTGAATGAATCTTTTGAACGAATCGCTTTAATGAACAGATTCTAAAGATTCAGTCAAAAGAACTGATCCTCCATCACTGATTCCTCTGCAGCTCCTTCGCCTCATGTTGATAATCATCGATAATCTGCTCGATGTGTTTAACGTGAAGAGATAAAAGAAACACGACATGATGTAACCTGCGTCCTTGTTTCCTGTCCTCCTCTCGCTGTTATTTGATGGTAAACACGACACCTGAGGACCGCAGAGGCTGAGTCAGCAGACAGACAGATGGACCTGAGGGCTGCGGCGTGGATTTGGGTGATCTGAAATCTGTGAAAGGACAGGAAGAGGTGTGGATGTGCCGCCGTTTCTTTTACATTAAGTGAATAAATGCCGAGTCAGGTCATGTTGAGGGTTATTACCTCCTGCTGCAGAGACCGCTGCAGGGTTGGGGCTCAGCGGCGTTGGCACGTGTGCAGCTCCGTTTGCCAGCTCTGTCTCTCTTAGCGCTCTCTGGGTGCATCGTGATGATGTGGGCGGCCAGGATGGCGATGGAGGGGAGTGGGAAGAGGCCATTAGGGGGCGGCGGGGAGGCTGTCTGGACCTTCATCAGGACTGGATTCAGACTTTCTCACAGCGGCGTGAGAGAGCAGGACGTCGTCCAAGTCACGCGTCCAGTTGGACAATGTTTCCCACATGTGCTGCTCAACAACGATTAAGACACTAAACCCTGATCTCTGCGGCGTGGACGCTAAACACACTCTCACTTTTTAAATCACATTCTGCATCGTGCAGTTTACAAATTTTAACTCCAACCTGGAAACACTTTTACTGCCGAACCGGTATGATCCAGTTCAGAGAGCACAGAGTGATATCGAAGATGGATGAAGATAATCTGGGAGGAAGAGGAGGAAGAGGTGTTGGACCGCGATGATGAAGGAGAGGAAGTCCAGGACTAAGAACACATTTTTGTCCAAAAATCGTGCAGCCTTACTTTAACCAATCAGGATGGAGCTTTCAGATAAGAGGGGCGGTCTCCAAGAATCACCTGACCTCAGTGACTGTGACAGTCGCCACACGTGTCCTGATTGAACAGATAATGTTGTCGAGACTAAATCGTTCCAGCAAGATAAGACGACACACAGCAGAGGACTGGATGTCTTCTTTGGGGTCATTCTGGACCCTTGTGACCTTCATCAGACCGTCCTCCAGACTTCCTTTTCGTTATTAAACACATGATCCATAAAACAACCTCCACTTTAGTCAGCTGTTATAAAAAAAAGCTGATGTTGCATCCAGAAATTACTGTACGATCAATTCCAGTGAGACGCTAACCTCACGTTTCCAGCCCGAGGGACTCTAATGACAGATTAGGGCGCCCAGAGTCCGGTCCGGTCTCCACACGAGTTCCAGTTTCAGTTTGGGATTCTGCAGCCTCACGATTTACATGCAGTCACGCTCGTCTTATCAGCTTTTGTTTCCAGAAGCAAAAACTCGCTGATAAAGGAGAGAAAATACATCTAATTCATGCGCTGTGAGAAAGAGAGACACACACAATAACAGCTGCTGTTTGAGCTCAGAGCCGCATTTATCAGCCCAACAAGCAGACATCACCCTCCGAGAACGTGACAGTGTTTATGCTGCTCCCTTATCTGCTGCTGCTGCTGCTGCCGCTGGAAGTGTGAATTTCACTCCACCCAAATCAACTTAAGTGAACAGACCTTTATGAGAGGCTGGTGTTTCTGGGAGGTTTCTGCAGCGAACACAGAACTTAGGATTCTGGTGTTTTCTGCTGCAGAGTGGAGCAGCACGTTACTTCTCAACTTCAATTATTAGTGATGCACGATATGAAAAATTTCAACTGATAACCGATAAATTCATATTTTTATATCTGTTATAATCTTCATATAATCTGCAGTTTGTGCAGGATGCAGCGATTGAAAACTGATGTTTTTGTTGCTCTGGCCGATCTAGAACAACAAACTAAAGTTTTTGGCTCTTCAAACGTTTATTTTTTCTATGTCATCACAAAAATATGTGGTCATTAGCTATAAATGACAATAACATTTGATCCCCTGAACTGTTCAACAGAACTGTAAACTGTAAAGGAGCTATTATGAGACGTTAGGCTTAGCATGCTGACCGGACTAACGTCTGACGTCCATATGTCTGTGGTCAAACTCACGTGTAGTCCGTTCTTGTCGATCAGGTTGTGAATGTTTGTGGCGACAATATCATAGAGTGCAGGAAGAGACACATCCGAGAAGACGCAGCGGCTTGGGAGAGTGTAACGTGGCTCCAAGTGTGCTATGAACTTAAGAAAACCCGGGTTCTCAACGACGGAAAAAGGCTGGTCGTCGACCGCTATGAACTCCATCACTTTGTCGTTAATGCCTTTAGCCTTTTCGCTGTCTCTCGAGAAGCTTTTGCAGTTTTTAAACGCCTGCTGAATGGGGACATCGATCCTCCGTAGTGTTGTTGTCTTAGCTTTAGTACCGCTAGCAGCGTCGGCGGCTGTCTCATATTCTTTTAATACCGCTTCGCCGCGATGGCGACTTTTCAGATGAGCTATCAGATTCGTTGGCGTCTTCTTTCCTCCTCTCGGAATCCTCGCTGAACAGGTTTTGCATATAGCAATGCTGTTGTCATCTTCTGCCACTGAGAGAAACGACCATGCTGGTGAAGACATTTTATTATCAGTCAGGCGGTGACGGGGGTCAGGCTTGGGACCTGCGAGTAAGGCGCGATAGATGACGTAACCAGCGCGTCTCGGACGGCAAACGTTACTCGTAATTTCATTAATATATCGAATCTTTTATCGGAAAAATGCACCTATCGGATCGATAAAAAATGACGTAATTTCCCCCCAAATCGGTCCGAAAAATATCGTGCATCCCGATCAATTATAGATGCAATTTATTCAGATTTACCAGCTCTGCCTAATCTTCAGTATCTAAATTCTACAAACTGTTCCTTTAAAACAAACACAGAGACCCTCCGCTGTAAAAGACGAACGCTTGTGCAAACAAGAGGAATAATAACGCCGGTGGAAAACACTTTCTCACCCTGGTTTGTTTCCTGCGCTCGCTCTGCTTCTTGGAGTCTCACCGATCCCTCGTGTTGTTTCACACCAGACTGTGTAGAAAAGACTAAAAATATATGTGTTTGGTCCTGGGCGTCCCAGAAGGCAACTTTATCGAGAACAAAGGAGATAGCGGGGCGGCTCAAATAACTCATGGAGAGCGAGCGGATCCTGCTGCTGCTGCTGGGACTGTGTCGGCCCCCGCTGAAGAACATTATTACTGGATTATTGATTTACAGCACAACACGGACCTTGTGTTAAGCTCATTAATCCCTCTGCCGCCTCTTTTATGAAAATGGACCTGTTATCGGTGATTATTCTAATGGATTGTTATGATCGAACACTTACTGCGCCGAGCTGCTGACACTGTAGCAGGAACTCTAAGGTGAGGTTAGGGGACGCGCAGACGAAAAGGCATGAAAGAGGCGGGTATCTGGAGCGGACGCACCGAAATACAACGCTCTGAACACAGGCGGAGGAATTGCTGACATTCTGCTGACATTTGGTGCGTCAGTGGCATTTTGCAAGATATATGAGCAGGTAGTTCAGCTCACATCACTTTGAGTCGGCGCGCCTCGAGAGATTCAAGGAGTGACTTTGAGGAGGAGCTCATTAACATATTCAGAACGAGTCTTTCCACGCCGTGTTTGAGCCGTAAAATACTCTTTATCCTCTCGTCTTTCAGTCTGACTGAAACCTCACGAAGTTTAATGATGACTTTAATTTACAGTAACAAAAACTCTTCCACACCCACACCTCCATCTTCCTCTCGCCGACTCCCCCCTTCCTCCCCCGGCTTCGTCGACATCCATCAGGGAGTGCTCCACTGGAGTGCGGCGGGCCCGACGATTGTCCTCATAAATTGTGAGTGTGTCGGGGGTGCGCGGGGGCTAAGTGAGCAGTAAATAACAAAAGGGTCCCGCCGCCATCCGCTCGCCATCCTCACGTTTCCGGCCACGCAAGATTACCCAGGATGCCCCTGGAGGGGTGTCTTCTTCCTGTGTGTGATGAATGGACAAGGGGATAGAGAACACGCCTTCGCCGCCCGGCGCCTGCCAGAGAAAAGGTGAGGTCCGGGAACCCTGCCGATGTAAATGGATGAGTGTCTTTATTTGGGCGTAAAAAAAGAAAGAAGCTGTTTGTCTCCCTCGCTCTGTAATAACGGATCGCTGTAACTGCCGCCATTCTTCACTGTCACTCCCTTTTCTCTCCATCCCGCTCACTTTTCTCCTGCTCTCTCTGCCCTTTTCGATTTTTCCTCTGCTGCCTTTTCTTCCTCTCTCTATTGACTGAGCATTCAGAACTGCTGCAGGCCACTTTTCTCCAGGACTTTCCAAACCTGCTGCCCCCCCAACCGCGCCGCTCCTGCAAAATACTCCAAAAAATGAAAGTAATTTTATTCTTATTCAGGCGTCGTGGAAAATACAAACATTGGAACAGTCCAGACAGAAGTGAAAGGGTTAAAATGACAGCAGGAAACTTTTAATGAAACATCGGCATCATCCAACGAGTGAATCCCAACGATAAAAACTCACACGTCCTTTCAACACCACAAAAAGTTTTTAGAATTTTACCAGAACAAAATAAAATCACATCATCTACAAAAAACACTGAGATGAATTTAAAGAGTTCGGGACCAATCAGAGATCCTCAGATCCTTCCTGAAATCTGGCGCTGAATCTGGACGCTTTGTTTTCCATCGACCCCGTAAGGTTGGAAATTTCAGGACTCAGAGGGACTTTAAACGACCAACATTTCTGATTTATAAAGTAGAAAACTCTTCAGTCGTACTCCTCATATCCTGTATTTACCTGGGAATGTTCTTAAAGGGACAGTTCAGTGTTTTTGAGTTAGTCGGTGTTAACTCCTGGCTGGCTCGCCAAAACATATACTCAGTAAAACATGAGACAGGATGAGATCTGAAGAACAGTCTGGGTGTTTTTTATTGTACAGATGTAAAAATCAGTTCAGATGACAAACAGAGTCTCACTGAACCCGAGGAAGGCCTACCAGGCTCTCCTCCTACTCCCTTTTATTCTGTGTCTCTGAGTTTTCCGTCATCATGGGTTCATCACATCTATCCTCCAGGAGAACTCAACACTTTGTTGAGATTAGTCTGAACTTTCCTGGAGATTAGCTCTAAATGTTTTTGGCAGACAGTTTCGCTCCTTTGCTCACCACCTCTCAGTTCTGAGTCTAAGTTGTAACCCCTTAATAAAAGATAATCCCTCTATGTTTCTTGACCTAAATGTACGGAAAGATTCGACTTCATCATCGGTCAGCTCAGCCTGTTTGATGAGAAACTGCAGAAAGAACCGCCGTGTAAGCGAGGCCGCAGTTTTCAGCAGAAACAGTCGAGTTATCTACGAAGGTTATCTCAGAGAGTGTGTTTGTTTTAGCGGAGTGTGGAGACTCGTGGACACCTCTGTGTGTTATAAACACCTGGATCTCCTGGTTAATCCTCTCACTTCACTTTTCCTCTTTTGTAAACGGTGAAGTCAGACTCTCTGATCAGACTCATTTTCATGGAGTTGAGGAAAAACCTGCTCATGTAACCATAGCGACTGTTCAGTGTGAAACAGAAACGCTCCTCTCTGCAGCAGGTTCCCTCTCTGTAATAACACGTGTAATAACACCTCCTCCCTCTGCGTCTTTGACCTCCTGCTGACTTTCTGTCTTTCCATGAATTTTCCTCTCAGCTCCTGACGCTGCTCCGCTCACCTTCATCCTCAATGTCACTCCATCCATCCATCTACCTCTCCTCCCCCTGCCCTCCTCTCTCTCTCTCTCTCTCTCTCCCATTTGCCGCTCCTCCACCTGTCAAACTCCAATCTCCATCACCAGCAGCACCTGTTTTTGTCTTTTTAATTCCCCGCTAAAACAGACCCTGACAGGTTGATTGTGCACTCGGTGATTTCTGCACAGCAGCTGCTGCGTTTAGTTGAATGACACGCGGCTGGCGTCTGAAAAAAAGTTAATGTTGGGTTGTGAGATTGTTGGGTTTGATGAGAGAGTCGCTCCACGGCTGCCTCCGTCTCTCGGCTCGAGGAGTTTTCTCTCCACACGCTGACAGCCGCAGAAAGGAGATGAATGGGTTGAAAATGGGATGTTCAGCCTGTTTTCTCAGATATTCTTAACGGGGCTTATGTAAGGGGCGGAGTTAAAGGGCGCCCTGCTAAATGTTGCCTTCCTGCTCTCTGTTTTTGTTTCAGGAGAGAACATCGTGTCAAAACAAGCGCCGGAAACATTAAACTGTCAGATTTTGGCGTCGAGTTTGACGCTCTGGGAGGAATGAAGAGCGGGAGATAGCGAGGCATGTGGCCAAATGAGCGGGAATCATTCACTTCCTCCCACACCGACTTCGCCGTGTGATCCTGGAAGAAATACAACAACAACAACAACAACACTGGATCATTTTTACAGAGTTAAAATATCCACATATTCCTACATGTGCTCACTGATCGATAATGTATTTAATAGTTTGACGTCCAACCTTTTTAAGAATATCGATCTGTGCAGCGTTCTGCATGAGGGCTCAATTTGGAGCCTATTGACTGTGGTGTCGTTGTGATACGGCGTGGGAGAGCCTCGGGCTCCGGGCAGACGCTCTCAACGCCACAATTATTGACCCTCTTGACCTTCTCCCTGCAAAGACGATATAAAAACGTCTATTTGCCAGAGGATCCTATCAACTCTGCAGGGAGAGGAAGTCTCTGCAGCTCCGGACTCCAAACACTCAACGGTTTCCACTTCAAACTTCCTGTTTTAATCCGAGCGGTGAATCAAACAAAAGGTGTTTCACAGCGGGCGACCAATCAGAGGCTCTGATTCATCCGAGTCTTTTACATCTGAACAAAAACAATTAAGTCAAGATGATCGGCTGATTCAGAGGCTGATCGCAGCACACCGGGGCTTTTCTGAGCGAGTTCAGGTCAGGTCTGGAGTCTCAGAGTGACGCAGCAATGAGTCAAAAAGTGACATGAAGCAGCGACTGAACGACAGAAAACATCTGAAGCTCTCCTGCACTTCAGCTCTCCTTTATTTGACTCTCCTTAGCTCCGATCTGGAACGGCGGCGATTTTCTCTGTCTGCCAATTCCTACCAGATCCGTTTGTGAGGCGAATTTTGTGGCAGATTTCGGAGAACAGGAATCACAAGAACTCGCAAGAACCCGCAGATTCACCTTCAATCGCTCGATAACAAGTTGTCTCTATGAAGACAGACACATAGACATATAAGCAGTAGATTGTGTCCTTCCAGAGGAGGAAATCTACTTCTAGACTTCTAGAATCAGCATCTCCTCATCCATGGTGTCATCAGGGTGAAATGATGTCTAAAAACCTTTCACTTGTTCGTCTCCGCCCGTTTGCATGGTGTGAAATACGATCCTCCTGAAACACGGAGTGTTTTATTTTGAAAAGAAGCAGGATGTTTTATTTTGTGTCTGTGCCCGACTTCCTTTCCAGCACGGGTTAATCTGTGCTGAATTTATCCGCCATGCTCCGGTGTCCAGAAAAACTAGAACTCTTGTGATCAGCTGAGGAGTCCGGCGATCCGCAGAGGAACGGAAAGAAGTCGGTGTAAATTGACACGTTAACTTGAATGGTTACGATCAGCTACGATCGGAGGAGACGACCTTTTAGGAGACGATCAGGATGAAGGTGGAAGTTGAGGGTAAACCTTGAGATGTTGTTTAAAACTGAGGATGCAGCATCTATGATTTACAGTTCTTTGTTGAAAGGACAACTGGACTTACTTGAGACATTTCGCCTTCCAAAAGAGGGTTAGATTTTGATTTTGATCAGCAGAGGAACGAAAAGAAGTCGGTGTAAATCGACACGTTAACTTGAATGGTTACGATCAGCTACGATCGGAGGATACGACCTTTTAGGAGACGATCAGGATGAAGGTGGAGATTAGGGGTTAGCCTGTCAGAAACATGATGTGACCCCACCCATGATTTCTGTATGTTTTCATCTGTTTACCGACCCGGTCGTTCGCTCCTAGAAAGCGTTTAGTAGGAGTGGACCAGAGACTGAATCATGAACTGTGTGAACTCTGCAGCAGCTGCAGCATCAGCGTCTCTGAAACTCTGGAATAAATAATTCTGTTTGTGGATTTCTCTTTATAGTACAGTAACCGAAAAGTCCATTAGTTACCAAAGAAGCGATTGATAGCACTTAAGTTTCCCTGATCCGTCATAAAGACCGGTGGTCTCTCCCGGAGTCGTACCTGATGAACTGTGAATCAGCCTCTAAGTGGCACAGACCAGCAACGACTCATTAATTTCTAATTAGCAGATCATTAGCTGCTCTTTTTTTTAAAGAGATATATCATACTGGCCTTTCACTGCTGTGTCCTCTGCTGTTGCATCATGGGTGATACTGAGGGATCAATTAACAGAAGCTTAATTGATCCTGAGGGAGTTGAAACAACAGTGACTGGACTGGAGAAATGAAGCCCCTAATAAACAGACATCCGAACACTGTCCACTGTTGAAAGATTTGGGTTTAAAAGGTTTTATATTCTTTATGTCGACAGATTTCCAAAGTTTTTAGATTGTCATGAAATTTAAAGATGATGTCTGAAGATCTGGAAACACCAACAAGTTATTTAATTATTTATTAACTCCTGTCCAAATCATTGACCGATTATTGACTCCAAGAAATCATGTGATCAGTGTTGGATAATCTGGTTATTCTCCAGTTCAGCACCGTGACGGCGGCGAGCGGAGACGAACAGGAGGTGTCCGGAGTGAATCTGCAGCTGTTTGTAGAAGTTAAAGTTAAACATTCAAATGTCGGGTTTTAGCGAAACGCTGAATTATATAAACGTGATGCTAGGAAGTCAGACGGTGAACAAAACCTCGAAGGACCGAGAAAAGACGTAAAAAAAGACGAAACTTTCTGCAAACCTGTTTCACTGACTGTTTTGGTACATGATACGTCAACCTAACAAGCTGAAATGGAGCATGTCGCCACCTACTGTAGCGGAGGTGAACATGCTTCAGTTCATAATTCGGTCTGGTCAAAGACAGTTTGATTTCCTCTGACTTACCTGTGCAGGTAAACAGACTGAGTGTAAAAGCAGAATCCCTGAACTGTGCCGACGCTGGAGGATAAATAAGAAGTTCTTCTTCTTCTCCTGTGAGAACCAAAAATCCCTGTCACTCCTCCAGAAGGTCCAGAGAGCAGCAGCCAGGTCCAGATCCTCAGGTGGGGCTCATCTGTGTGCATGTCGGCTTATAATCGGTCTGTCGTCACTCTTTGTGGTTCAGGAGGAAGTTTTCCTCTTTTTTTCAGTCTGCAGAAATATCCTGTCCTAACACGAAGACATGAGAGGGTTTTTTTTATGAGAGGTTTTTTCTTCTCAAGAAACAAACGTGCATTTTCAAAAATGTCAAAAGCTTCCTCCTCGTCTCCAAACTTTCGAAAATGAACTCCTCTATCTTCGAAAATTGAAAACTGGATGTCTCCAACATTATTACCGGCACATTTTCCTGTAATTTAGTCTGACAATTTTTCTCATTTCTTCGGAGACCTCCACTCCCTCTCAATTTAAGATAAAGCTCTGAGGGTTTGAAAGTGCTGGTCTACACAACACTGGGTTGTAATAACGTACCCACCTCGACGGTTGAAGAGGCAAATGTGGACTTTTATTCGCGCGGCAGACCCTGTTGAAACTGTACAGCTGTGAAACCACATAACAATTACTTTTAAGAGATGACCTGCTGGACCGGGTGGGATGGGTGAGCAATATCATATCTCTACAACTCTCTTATCCCCTCGCCTCCCATCGTCTGTCAGCCTCCCCCCCGCCCCGCCCTCTCACTGCATCAGCTCGGAGGTGAGCCGCCTCCCCGGACTGGAGGTGACCCCCCGGACCCTATTAACATCACACACGCTCCGAGTGTCCAAAGTCCACTCCCTAAATGAAGTGTGGGCTCGCTCCCCCTCAGCCCACCGCTGGGTGAATTAGATTGCAGCTTTTTAATACGGCTCTTAATGGTTTATAAATTGCACGTAATGATTCCTCCTTTCCTCTCTCTCGCGGTGCGTTTTATGGCCCCTCGGCTTTCGGAGGGAGTGGGTGGGATTTAATATATGGTGGAGGAGGCAGAATGAGGAGGTGAAACTAGCCCTGCACGGCTCTCTGCCTGCCCTTAACGCCTCCCCTGGCTACAGAGGAGGGAGTCTCGGAAATAACGCCGGACACTGATACTATCTGGCTGTAGCGTCTAACGGCGCGGACATGACAGCGCCGCATGACGAAGGGGTCACCAGAGGAGCGCAAATAATCAGAGCGGTGTTCGGTGGAGGGCTGAGACGGCGATTTGTGGAGGAGGCCACACCTTAGGGGGAGACAAAAAGAGGCTCATCCAGGAACACGCTGCAGAACCGAAAAATGAACAAAAGAAGAAGAAGAAGAAGCAGGTCTTCGTGTGGAGGAGCTCTGCAGCAGGAAGTTTAATTTACACCTCATGGACAGAAGAGAGTCGACCTCCTCATCAACTAGACGGAAAAATAAAATCTATTTCTGGATCAACCGAACCTGAGCAGCTGAACGTCAACGTAACGAGCTTTTAGGAGCATTTAGGTTATTTTTAACTTTAACGTGCCGATCAGCGAGAACCTTCTGATAGATCTGAAAATAAAACCCTGAAGGAAATTAAATTTAGATAATGATCGTGTCCAAATGAAGCGCTCTGATAAATAACAGATCCTGCAGTCTGTTAATGAGCGTCTGTTATTTGATACCGTCTTCATTTTTGGACTTTAGGCTCCGTGCTGAAGTTTATTGACCAGCTGACGGTTATTTAACGTCTCCAGTTTTACGTTGTTGGTTTTTATCCCCATCGCTCATCCTCCTGGAGCCTAGTTTAAATTATTACGAATCTTCATTAAAATATCATTAAATACAGAAAAAGACGCCGCATATGTAGGAGTTAAATAGGTCCAATAGGTGGCGCTATCTCCAAGCCAAAAATTAATACATGCGTGGATCAGTTCAGGCCGGCTCCATCGTCATCAAACCGGCGAAACCCGAGCAGACTGGACAACGTATGTAAAAGTCATTACCATGCACTTCCACAGGGTGGCGCTGTGACTGTAGATGAGAAAAAGACGTGTTCGGGGGGTGGACCGTGATCATGTATATGAACGCTGAAGAAGGAAGTTAAAATAACTTCCTGTTTAATGTTGTGACACCAAAGTTGGATGAGACTGTCACGACCCGATCTGTCCCGGAAACCCGGTTTGTACTGAGCATGTGCGAAATCTACGTCACTTCCTCTCCTCGTATTTTGATGCATTTTACAGCAGTTAGTTGTTACTTTAGCTACCTACCGGATCTGTACTGTGCAAGAGCAGATTTACATCACCTTAAAAACTTTATTTAAACTACTGATCGTGACAGGCTAGCTAGCAGGAGGCTCCAGGGCTAATGGCGAGGCATTCGCCAGAGCTCCTGCCCAGAACAGTGAGACCTTTTGGGCCACAGAGAAAGCCGCCGCCCGGTGAAAATGATGGTTCTCTGACTTTTCAAAATATCAAGGAGGATTTATTTCATTTATTTTATAAATTAAATTTATTAAGAAGCCGACACATTCTGGACAATGAATTTCAGTGTTTTAATTTCAACACTGAAATATTCACATTTATTTAAGTCTTTTAGAACTACGCTGCAATTTTACAATTTAGCTGTAGTAGGAACCTTTAATCGTGAAACTGGGTGCCTTTCTCTTGACTTTCCAGCGCTCTGTTCAGGGAAAAGTGTGTGGTTAGTGATAAACTGAATCATCCGTTCTGACTGAAGCAAGTTGCTGATGTCAAAACTGCTGCAAACTGTGAGGGGCAAAGAATTGCTGAGCCGTCGCAAAGATGGTTAGAAGAGGAAGTGACGTATGTTTCTCACACACGCAGTACAAATCGGGTTTCCAGGATGGATCGGTTAGCGACAGGGACGTATAATTCTGATTTTTGGATTTAAGTCCGTAGTTGATCTGACGAGTCTCTTCAGTGACCCTCACTCTGAACTTTAAAACCCACTTTACAGAGTCGTGTTTTTCGCTTCTCTGATGGTTTTAAAAAACATGTTCAATCTGCTCGACCGTCTCCTTTACATCAAACGTTAAAACACGCCGTCCTCCACGAACACAGACTCCAGAGGACACGATCAGCCGTGTGTAATCTGCATACAGTCAGCATATGTACACACACCTTAAAGTGGATATAGATGCTGCTGATAATGAAAACACACACACACTCGTGTATCACCATGTGTAACACACACACACATACACACACCTTTCCAGTGACACAGACTCCGCTCTGGTCTACGACAACGACATGATCTGCATCTGAGATTAAAAGGACTGCAGCTGCACGGACAAAAAAACTGTTATTTTCTGTCCTCCGTTCAGTCCAGGGTGAAAAACGTGAACCCGGAGCTTCATGCATGTTTTTTTCACGCTCTCGTAAACGTCTCCTGGTTAGTTTTTGAGCTTTTGAACAAACAGCAGAATCATCGTGTTGATTTCATCGTAAACTTTTACAGATGAGCTCATCGCAGTTGTTGTTTTTAGTCGTTTTCTTGTGCAGCACTTTTCTGAATGTATTTTTACACCTTGCTGTGCAGTCCAGACGTCGCACCTTACACCTGAATAGAGAGAGAGAGAAATTCATCTTTTCTGTGATGTAACCAGCAAACCTGAACTCCTCCTGCGCCGGGCTGGGACCGCACGCTCCCTCATGCTTCACTGTCTTTCCCACATTTTCTTCGCGGTTCAATATTTTTGTATTTGGAGGCTCCAAAGGTCACTGAGTAATGTCGGCGCAGCTCCAGCGGAAAGACGACATGCGTCTGAAACTTCACAGACGTAGTTTGAACTTTGAGGTGAGAGGGTTTACAAAAAAACAAAAAACAAAACAAAGAAAAGTGGAAATTCAACGTGAAACCGCAGAGGTACTGAGTCCAGAACATGAGATTCAGAACCAGAGAAACAAAGATGATGAGACGAATAATATCCTAAAAGGACATGAAGTAACAGACTGACTCTCTGGTACAGCTTGTAATGTGTCTAATAGTGAAATCTGGAAACAGAAATCGTCTTTCTCTCTAATTGTTTATTCATCCTAACACTTTGTTTCCTCTCTTGGCCTCCCTCACCGTCTGGGGACCCGTAATTAAAGCAGAGTGGGAGGTTTTTAATTCCTAACATCGCACAATATGAACGGCAGCCAGCAGAAACCGGCGCCTTCCTCGACGCTTCGCTGCCACCCAGAAAAATTCCAATTAACCGAGTGAGAGGGAGAGTTTGTCTGAGCGTCTGGAGAGAGAGCAGTTATGTCTTCGTCTCAGGCTCGGACTCGGTCGTCATCGGCGGAGTGACCAACAGCGGCGTCTCTTAGCGGGTCAACACGATACTGAGGCGCTTTGTCGAGTTTAGCCTTTTAATTCAACGCGAGGTGAAGATCAGAGAAAGGCGGTTAAAGAAGAAAAAGACGGTAATGATGCTGCCGACAGAGCGAGTGTGACGTAGACGTGCAGAGCTGGACCTGGACCTGGACCTGGACCTGGACCTGGACCTGGACGGGTCAGCTGAAGGGTCACAGCGACGAATCCTGAAGGAAGCAGCACTTCAAATTTCAAAATAAAGCTCTTGATCATGACACAAACCTGTCGTTGATTTTACCGCTGATCATAAACGCTCTGGTGTCGAACGGACAAACCAAACAGTTGGTTCTGTTGACTCACTGTCAGTCCAATCAGGAGAGACATTCACTCACTTAGACTCTGTTCCTCCAGTTCCTATTGGAACCTTGGGCGACGAGTCCCCTCCGTTTGCTCCGGTCCCTAGCGACTCTTCTTGCTCCACGCCAGCTGACTCCCGTCTCGCTCAGGTCTTCCTTGGCTGTTCGTCTTCATGTCTTCTTCGGCCTCCCTCTATCGCCACACTCGCCGGTCTCTCTCTTGGCGGTCGGAGTCCATGTCCGGTCATCCTCTTTCTCCTGTCGGAGACGATGTCAGACGAAGGTGCTACACCTGTCCTTCTCATCACCTCTCCATCGGTGATTTGGTCTCTCCATGAGATCTTTAGGATGGATCTGAGGCACAGATGATGGAAGACATCCAACGTGTTGGTGATGCTGGTAGTCTTCATCCACGTCTCACAGGCGTAGGTCGCTGGAGGGATGACCACTGACATATAGAGGTGTGGCTTTGTGGCCATGATGATGGATTTCGACGACCAGATGTTCCAGAGTCGTTGGAAGACTCCTGCAGCTTTGCCAGTTCTGGTCTGTACGTCTTTCTCCTGCTGCTGCTTCAGCGACCGTGAACTTAGATGGGTTGGAGCTTCCTCCCGGTTTTTGATTTCTCCAGACTCGTTTACGGCAAAGACTTCTGCACTTTTAAAAAAAAGAGTTTTAACTCTCAAAATTTTACAACCAGAAGTTTTCATAAGACTGTCTGAGAAAGACTAAAATAAAAATGAAAATGAGTTAAAATAATATCTGAGTTCATCTGAGTGAAACTACCTGTGGAGCTCAGGAGCTGACATGAACTTTAATCTTTTTTAATTTGTTTAATTTAGTATCTTGTAGGTGTGATTTAACTGTTTGTTGATAAACAAAATCACTTCCTGCACGTCTGAATGTCGCTGTGCTTTAAGGGTCCATACGAGGGGTCTCCTTCTCAAAACAACACCAGCTGTTGCTAAGCGATAAGATCTCTCTTTGTGAGCCGGACTTAAATAAGAGAAAATGTTGATGATCTGCTCTCTGTCCATGAAACTGTCCTTCTCACAGAAATGAAGTGCTCGTAGGATTAAAAATGCATTCGCAAGATACATAAAACACACGTTTGAGATGCTGAATGCAAATTAAAAAATATAAAAGTTCATAAATTAAAAGTTTAACAATTATTTAAAAATGACTAAAACTAAATCTACATTTGAAGAGTGTCGGGCTCTCTGACGGCGTGGTAAGTTTCCTCGACCCCGGCTGAGAGTTTCTCAGATTTAGTTAATTCGGCTTCTTCTGCAGAAAACTGTAGCCTAGCTTGAACGAAGACTCTCTCTCTGCAGCTCTGCGTTAAAACACTCAGAGCAAACCGACATCCACTGAGGCTGAAACACTCAGGGATAACATGTTACCCACAAAACACTGGAATATCCCTTTAATGGAGAAGACTCTTCCTTTGATATCTCGTCTGTTTCTATAAAGAAGTGAACTCAGCGGAGACACGTTGGTATCAGCCTGTAAATATTTCTGAGCGTCGGCTCATTATTTGCCTCCGCTGGTCCGCGGGACAAAAGAACAGAGAAGATTCATTTACGTTGTTCTTAAAGAAGCTCTTAAGGCGTCTCGGCTCAGACAGACTCCCTGTAAGGCGGCCGCTGTCATTGTGCCGAGACAATGACTTCTATCCACCTCCGAGTCTCTCAGGAAACAAGACGCCACGGGTAGTGATGAAGAAATACCCGCTACCGGACTCCTCTCCCCGACCGAGAGCAGGTGGAGAAGCAATGTGCCGTTACGGCCCCTCGCTGTGCTTTAAAGACGGCTTCAAACAATTTACTTTGTCAAAGGGGGACTCCTGTCCTACTTTCCCCGACTGCTCGGAGAAAAATCTGCTATTTTCGCTGCCTCCAGACCTCTGCTCGGGTATGAACATCTCCAAAGACGGAGATTTGTCTGTATAAATAAACACCTCTGCGCTTAAATCCCCCGCTGCTCGGCTGATGAGGTTAGAAAACACGGAATAAAGTCTCAGAAGTACACTCGTGGTGCAGCGGAGGAAACGTGCCAAACTCGGGCAGAGGGCGAGAAAGAGGAGTAGAGGATGTGGTTTCCAGAGGGCAGACGTTGTGGGGAAAAGGTCAGGAGAAGTAAGAAAGACATGAACACAAACATCCACACGCAGAAACTCGACGAGATCGGGAGAGGAGGGAGAGAACGCTGATCCATGGGGCCCGTCTGGGGAGGCAAAAACACGACATCGATTCTGCAAAGTCCACAAATGGAAAATCCATGAGGGTGAGGAGCGGCTCGGCCCTGCGGCAGAGACGGGGCACCGCGGTCAGCTGCTCGGACGGCGACCGACACGGCGCCCGGCCTTACGCTGGGTGGGCCGAGCTGGATCAGAGACCATGAAGACGAGAACGTTCAGGAAAAGTGAATCTCGTCTTTTTTTGGAGGGAAACACGAACGTTAAAGCCTCTTATTGACTCTTTAATCGCATTAATCCCTCGCCGTGCGTCTGACCATTGTGCCCAGAAACGAAGGCGGCGTGGTCACTGTGTGTACCTGTAAGACGCAGATAAAGAGCCCCCGCCCGCCTCTCTATCTGTGCCTCCGTTTGAACTCCGCCTGTCAAACCCCCGGGACCGGATCCTCGCTGGGGGAGGGAGGTCCTTTTTTCTCATTACCACCCTCCGTCGGCGCGTGTACACGCCGCAGACGCGCTAATCTGAACCCCTGATATGCTAATCTCCCCTCACTCCCTTTTAGATGCCAGCCACACCTCGGTGCAGGGAGGGGGGGGCGAGAGGAAGTCATTAAAGCGTGCCCCGCAGGAGCCCGCCTGGGCCTTGGCGGGATGAGATGGGCCGACAGCAGAACGCACGGGGGGGACCAGAGAAAGGGTCTCCGGGGAGATGTAGATCGGTTTAGTCCCCGGTCTACTCCGGTTCCCTCTGGGGTCGCCCCGGTCCCCCGCAGACAGGATAGTAATCAGACGAGCCGGGTGTGTGTGTGTGTGTGTGTGTGTGTGTGTGTGTGTGTGTGTGTGTGTGTGTGTGTGAGTGTGTGTGTGTGTGTGTGTGTGTGTGTGTGTGTGTGTGTGTGTGTGTGTGAGTGTGTGTGTGTGTGGGGATTAAAGGTGACAGTCGTCACTTTGCTCAGACCGGCTCACCTGCCACAAATCTGTCAGGAACCAAAGCTGCTCAGCGAGGCGTCCTGCACCTGTCAGCAGTCAGGGAGCGCCACATCTCCACGTGCACGTCTCTCTCTCTCTCTCTCTCTCTCTTTCCTGTCGTTTCACCTGAATTCAGGAGGAAACTCTCTTCAGACGAGGTTTCCTGGAAAACACGCCGGCGTTCTCGGTCATTCGGTTCAGAGCGTGAATCCGGGTCAGTCTGATGGCGCTCCGTCTGAGGTGCAGGACTCAGAGGTCAGAATGAATCCTTTCAAGTGTTTTTAGGGGGTAACATGAATTAAAGTCATTACTCTGAGTGCTCTCGTACCTGCAGGTGAGCGTGTCCACGCCTGAGACTCCGTATTTAACTTCTTACTCCTAAAACTCACGTGAAACCAAGAGCTGGGCCGAATCACCGAACAAATAATTGAAGACAGGAAGAGATGAAACCTGCAGGACTTCCTGTCGTGTCTGTCGTTAACTTCGATTCACCACATGAGCCGAAAAGTTAAACTTTCAGTAAAATTGATCTTCATGATGAAATCTGACCTGATCATCAGATTATTAAAGTAAAATATTCACAGAGATCATCAAAAACAAAACTCACCTGCTGCTGCTGCAGGTTAACACGTCCAAAGGTTTGTTTGGCCGCCAGTTAAGCCCCGCCCACAAAAACTCTGTTTACCAACAGCAAAAAAAAGGAGTCGAGGTCTTTAATGTTTGACATTTGTATTCAGAGAACAACAGACGATGTTGTTTGAAGATTTCTTCAAAAACCTGCAGATGAACAAAAACATGAAAACGTCAAAATAAATTCATGATCAGAGGAGGAGGAAAAAACGGGCGGCGGTTTACGGTTTACGCCTCGAGCACCTTAACTGGTCATATATGTCTGCCATGAAAATCTATGAGCTGTTTAATAGTTGGAATATAACCTCTTCATTTGTCACAGACAATAATCACACTGTAACTCAGCGTTAACGGCCGTGTGCAAAACCATAATGTGAAATCACACTGATTACCGGCTGTGTGTGTGTGTGTGCGTGCATGAGTGCGTGCATGTGTGGGTGTGTTTCAGACAGACCAGGATCTGTGCACTCCTCCCCTCATTAAAACTGCAGCAGCTCTCTGACACTCGTATTAAAGACGCTCATGTTTGGGTCTGTTCTGCCGGTTCTGACGGTCCTCGATCCTCAGAACCGCCGTCATGGAGACAAAAGTGATGAGATGAAAGCTTCGGCGGTCCATCCTAATGAGCTAAGAGGAGATGAGCGCTGCATTTATATGCCCTCTGCATTCGCATCCCGACCTCATAACCGCACGCCTTGTAAATAAATATGAGCAATCAGCGAAGAACGGCAATAAAGGCCCGTAAAGAGCGGCGAACACGGAGGAGGGAGGAAATTGTGTTTCTGCAGACGGAGAAGAAAGGAGATAAAGATACAAAAGAGGAGCGCCGCTCTCTTCTCTCTGACCTCCATCTCTGAAGAATGGGCAGAAGGACCAACAAAGAGAGAAAGAGAGTCAGGGAGAGGTTAAAAAGGAGCGCTGCATCCTGGGCGCCCGCAGCCCTGCGGCGTGGGGTCACCTCAGAGACTGGAGACTGAATTACCCAGCAGCCCCGGCCGCTCGCTGGATCAGGCGGACAAGGGGAGAGGACGAGAGGAGTTAATGAAGGGAAGAGGCAGTTCAGGTCCCTGAAGGGCCTCTAGGCACCTGCTTGGCGAGCTCCCGCCGCCCCTCCTGCTCTGATTGGCTAATTATCAACACGGATTTAGCCTGGAGTCAAACCGCTGATTGATTGGAGTGTTTTAAATCTGTCTCTGCTGCCTCTCCGTCCTGATGGACTCGCTCTGTCCTGACGCACGTGTGGACACACGGCCTCCAAAGGAACAGAGCGGCGGCCTCGCCGTGTCGCCGAGGAGAATCTGCTTGTTGGGTCAACATCACTCCTGTTATAGACGTAGAGGCCGTAGAGGCTGCATACAGCGCCGTGAATATTCGCTTATATTCATTCATCAGTCCTTAAGTAGATCCTGGTCCACGAGGATCTCAAACCTGCTTCATTAAACTTTACATTAAACGCCAAAGGGGAAGGATGGCGTGTTAGCGTTAGTCACGCCTGTTATTGTGGCGGCTGTTTGTCTGTGAGATTATTTCTCTTTTACAGATCGAACCCCCGATCTCCACCTTCATCCTGATCGTCTCCTAAAAGGTCGTATCCTCCGATCGTAGCTGATCGTAACCATTCAAGTTAACGTGTCAATTTACACCGACTTCTTTCCGTTCCTCTGCGGATCGCCGGACTCCTCAGCTGATCACAAGAGTTCTGTTTTTTCTGGACGCCGGAGCATGGCGGATAAATTCAGCACAGATTAACCCGTGCTGGAAAGGAAGTCGGGCACAGACACAAAATAAAACATCCAGAGGATCCCATCGCTGCTTTTTGCGGATGATGTGGTTCTTTTAGTTTCGTCGAGCAGTGACCTTCAGCTCTTGTTGGGGCGGTTCGCAGCCGAGTGTGAAGTGTCTGGGATGTGAATCAGCACCTCCAAGTCCGAGGTCGTGGTCCTCAGTGGAAAAAGGTAGATCACCTTCTCCAGGTCAGAGGGGCGGTCCTTTCTCAAGTGGAGGAGTTCAAGTATCTCAGGATCTTGTTCAGGAGTGAAGGTAGGATGGAGCGGGAGATCGACAGGCGGATCAGGGCGGCGTCAGCAGTGATGCGGACGCTTAACCGATCTATCGTGGTGAAGAAAGAGCTAAACCGTAAGGAGAGACTCTGGATTTACCGGTCGATCTACGTGCCGATCCTCACCTATGGTCATGAACTTTGGGTAATGAGCGAAAGAACAAGATCGCAGATACAAGCGGCTGAAATGGGTTTCCTCCTCAGGGTGTCCGGGCTCAGCCTTAGAGATAGGGTAAGGAGCTCGGACACTCGGGAGGCGCTCAGAGGAGAACCGCTGCTCCTCCACGTCCAGAAGAGTCAGCTGAGGTGTTAGGACGCCTTCTGGACGCCTCCCGTTAGAGGTGTTCCAGACATGTCCCACCAGGAGGAGGCCTCGTGGCCGGCCCAGGACCAGGTGGAGGGATTAGATCTCTCGCCTGGCCTGGGAGCACACTGGAAGTAGATTTCCTCCTCTGGAAGGACACAATCTACTGCTTATATGTCTATGTGTCTGTCTTTATAGAGACAACTCATTTTCGCACGATTGAACGTGAATCCGCAGGTTCTTGTAAATTCCCGTTATTTCCACTATCCATAATCCACCACAAACTTCGCCTCACAAATGGATCCGGTAGGAATTGGCGGACGGCGAAAATCGCTGTTCCAGATCTGAGCCGTTCCAGATGTGGTGGGATTTCGGGGTTACTCACAGCTGATGTGGTTTACAGCTTTGAATTTAAAGTCATTATTTCCTACAACTTAATCCGACAGAGTCGATCTGAAAGCAGCAGAAAACAAGTTTAAATTTGCAGCGTTTTTATTCAAACGTGGAACTCTGAGAGAAGCTCTCCTTTTGTTTCCTCCAGTTCAGACCGAGTGCAGGAGATGCTGAAGGAATCAGAGATGAAGCTGCAGAAAAAACATGTTGCTTGTAAAAGTATGCAAGAGGAAACATCTCTCCTACTCCTGCGTGTGTCAGATCACTCAGAATCATCCTGTCTGCTCTGGGACGAGCCTCGAGGGGAGCTGGCGCCGCGCGTTTCCCTCAGCGGGACGGAGACGCTTTTTCTGAGAGCTTCACATGGAAGTCAGACGCCTGAAATCACAACCTACATTCACGGGAACATCCAAGAGAGGCGGATTTAGCTCCGCGGTTACAGTCCGCACCGCTCCTCAGGATGTCTCCATCTACTTTCCTGCAGTGCATCCTGGGACGGGACATGTATAGCGGTCCCGGGGAGCCCCAGGGGAGGCTGGGGGATTAGCGCCGGCCTATCTGGGAATTAATTAAGTAATTATGAAAGCCGATGAAATATGCATGAGCCCTGATTGGGACGTTTGTGATTGTGTAATCTAATTTCAACTGGCGGACCAGGTACAACACACACACACGCACACACACACACACACACACACACACACACAGGAACAGCCAAAGATCACACTGACTGCTGGCAGAACGGATATTTTGTGTATCTCATTATGATAATTAAAATGAGGTAATCAGCGTGGATTAATCACCATAGTAATGAGGATTGAACAGCAGATTATGTCCTCTTACCTAATCCATATAATTGTATTTGTAGAAGCACGAGACTAATAAACCGGAGTCCAATTAATAATAACAAAGTAATTGATTTATCATGTTGGAGAGGAACTTCCTTCTTTTTGTCTCGAGCATCATCTTTGTTTCTCTCTCTCTCTCTCTCTCCCTCTCTCTCTTGCTCGCCCTCTCTCTCTCTCTCTCTCTTTATTGACGGATTTAAAGGCAGCAATAATCTCCTGTTCTGCTGAAAAATATTTCCTGTCTCAGACTCAAACGGAGTCGATACCAAAGCAGAGATCAGAGCGGCGGTGAGAAACACTGTCGCCTCCTTCGACACACATGTGCAATACAGGTCACAGGATTTACCACAAACGTGCACAAACACACACACACGTGCACGTGCAGGATGAGGATCCCATTTCATCTCAATCACCTGCGAGTTTATCGACCCAGGTGCGTCCTCCTTTCCTCCTTCCTTTCATTTATTTTGCTTTTTTCAGGTATTGATTTGAATATCGGAGCGTTTGAGACGAAGATCATATTCAGGGTTCGACCATTCGTGTCCTTCTGCATCCATCTGCTGCTCCTCCCCGTCTTTAGTGGATTTCTCACCTTCTCATGAGTTTATTTAGAGGACTGTTCTAGATTCTCCTGCTCAGCATGTTAGCGTCTCTTTCCTACGATCCACTCAGAGTGCTTTTATAACAAATCCACCGTTTATATTCACATTTACACACTGACAGTAGAAGCTGCTGTACAAACACACTGTCTAATCCCATTCACATAAACCCGCACAGGGCTGTTTCACCACTGGGAGCACTGGTCCAAGGACATGTAGACATGTGACGGAGGTCGAACCGCCAAACCCTCCGTCTGAGGGGTCAGGACTGAAACTGTTCAGATGGATCCAGTCTTGGACTCTGGAGATCTAATGTCTAAAGAGAGCTAGTTCAGACAGGCTACTTAGTCCAGATCAGTTCACAGTGCATCAGCTGACGACTCGGCCTGTTTCTCTGTTTAGACCTGAACTTTAACCTTCAGTACATGATGTCGTATAAATCGTAACTGCAGAGAGTCTTTGCTGCTGCTCCCCCCGCCTCGATTTTAAATACATGCACATTAAACAGGCTGAAGGTGTTCTCTTCCTGCTTTGGCTTTTCATTAAGATCGGAGTTCCCCTCCTGCTGCAGAAGTAAAGTCAAAGTCTTACGGGGCGTTCACATCAAGCGCAAGTAAAATCATCAACGCAAATGATTTGTGCGTCAACAGAGTGATTAAAAGCCGTGGATTACTGTTTATATTCATTTCAACAGATTCTTACCAATTCAACCTGCAGGATCAAGTTATAAACAACAGTTTTTAACAATTTACCAGATTATCCGACCTCCTTACTCTCTTTCCTCCAGACGAGCTCCTTTTTATTCCTGTTTTACGAGAGACACGAGACGTACATGGATACGAGAGAGAGAGGGAGAGTCTCCATCAAACATGGTTAAAGGGAACCATGTTCAGTTCAGTGGAAGACCCACAACCATCGGAGATGTAGGCGCCGCCGTGTCTGGGTCTCCTCCAATAGCTGCATCTGGATGACGGCCGTTTCCAGTGGTATTTTTGGATAACCTGAACCCAATCTGATGACCTGTTGGTGAGGGTCGGTGCCAGGATACCGATTTCAGGCGCTCTATCTCAGCTGCAGAGCGTCTGTCCATCTTTCTTCTGTGAGTAAAAGGATTTATATTTTCACACCTTTGTGCTGATTGGTTATCGCGGTGCAAATATTTGCTCAAGTTGAGATATTTTCATCCGTCTCGAATTCACATCCACTCAATTTGTCCAAAAACACTGAACTCGCATCATTGATGACCTGTCCCCGTCTAAGGCGATTTCCAGAAATGTCCCCGATTCAAGCGTTTCATGAATGAGAAAGAAAATGTTGCGTGTGGACCAGAACAGCAGTTATTATGGTAGCCGAATAGGTAGGAAGCGCGAGTAACCATCTTCGGCGCAGTCCTGAACAACAGTTTTTACGGCGGATTATTAGTGCTGCTAAAATCTAGTTGTTGTCTGTGATCACATTTTGCTCTTCACCCACCTCCCCCGGTTGTCCCCGGATGTCCTCAGATTTCATCACAGACATCTGGTCACCTGAGCATCATCAGTTTGCATGTGCTGAAAAACACAAAAACCACAGACCTCCCCGGTCCTCATCACCGATCCTCAGAAGTCCTTGTACTCGTGAGTCAGGCTCATGTTTTCAGCTCTGACTCAGTCTGTTCGTAAAAAGACGGCGGTGAGGAAGCTTTTACGTGGAGAAATGTGAAGGATTTCAGAGAGAGGAGTTTAGTCCTGAGCTAACAGATGTTCTGCTGATTGCAGTTTTAGAGATGTGACCACAGATGGATTTAAGTGACTGTAAAAGCTTTGTCCAAAAACACTGAGGAGGAAACAGCCCCGCCTCCAGTTTGTGTTCATTAAGAGAAAGAGGAGAAATCCAAAAATATCAAACTAACGTCTCAGAAAACAGAAAAAATCTGTTTCTGTTTCTTCCTCGGCGCTCCGGCTCGGCGCCGAGGGAATCTCCAGTGTGTAAACGTGTCCCCAGTGTTTGAACTCTGCTCAGAAAGCAGAAGATGAAGCAGAGAGATGAGAGGATCGACGCGGAGATGAAAGGCTGCGGCGTGCCCTCAAAAGGGAACGTGGGAGCCCGGGAGCACGCTTACTCACGCTGTCTGATTGTTCCTTTGTCTCCTTCAGTCGCAGAAGGAGCCGTTTTACAGGAAACCAGGGTCTGCTGCTGATGTTTCGAGTTTGCTTCCTCTGCTTAACCGGGGATCTCTCTCTGGAGACGGTTTCCTGAACTTCACCAAATTGCGTCAATAACAAGGTCAAAATTCAGAGTCCATTTTGTGTTTCTTCCAAACTCACACAGGAAATGAGAGGAGCAGGTGCGTCTCCGGCGTCAGATGTTCACCTTTGAAACCGCTGTCTGTCTTCCACGCAGGTGTGACACCTGCTCATTAATTTCCTCTCAGGTCACGACCTTTATTCGCCCTCGCCTGTCTCCTACACACCATGAATTTATTTCACACAGAATCCAAAGACTGTTTTAATTCGTCTCGTCTTTCTCGCTCGTATTTCATCCTTTTATTCGTCAGCCGCGTGTTTTCAAACGCCTCCTTTGTCTTGTATATCAGATGCTGTAAAGAAGCCGCTCCAGGCTGAAAATCGGTTTAAGTGTCTGAAAATCTCTGCGTATGTGTTTTTGTTTATAACCGATCATCTCCACAGTGTGACCTTCTTCCTCCGCGCGGCGTAAAGCTCCGTCTCCTGATTCGAGGCTTCTGTGGACGAGCTGCTTTGCATGGATTTGACTGGTTTCCACAGAGAGATTTGCATCCACTCGAAAAGGAAAAAGCACCTCGACTGCCGGGGCACAAAGGTCAGAGATAAGAGCGAAGACACAAACATGATGGAAAACTGCGGTAATATTGATGAGCCTTATTTATGGATTGACGGCGCTCTGCGTGGAACTTCAGTCAGCCTCACCGTCTTTATTTAATTAGATTTAATCAGAAAGATGACATGTATTACCTCTGTCAAGTGTAATCACGTTAATCAGAGACGGTGCACACGCTCCTTAAGTGCAGTCAAAGTTTCCCCGGTGATGATTTTATTACCTGTCTCCCCCGTCTCCCCCTCCCTCCCTTCCTTCCTCCCCTCCACCTGCAGACATAAGGTGATATTGGTGTGATGGGAGACCGTGTCCGGGCAAACAAAGCTCGCCCACTCCTGAGCTTTTTATAGGCTAATAAGATGACCGCTGGCTGGCTCGGTCTGCTCCGCTCTTATCAATCCTTTGTCTGCAGAAGTCCAACCTGTAACTACCGTCTGATTGGCTGTCTAGTCAGACTCCTAATAATAGAGTCTGTTCAGCCTGTGCGAGGAGAAAGTGTCGCTCTAGCATATTGACTTGAAGAGAGGTAAACGCTGATATTAGCCGAACAGGTGGTAGAGTTCATCGTTCGAACATGGAGATTGTAATGTGAGCAAAAACATTTATATGTGTTATAAACGGAGCCTCACGCTGACGCCGTGTCCTTAGATTCCATGACTGACCTGCAGTAAACACCTGAAGAAGAAAACAGAGAACTTATCTCCAATTTCCAACGCATCCGGAACAGTGGCGACATTCGCTGTCCGCCAATTCCTACCAGATGCGTTTGTGAGGCGAATTTCATGGCTGGTTTTAGACTGCAGGAAAACTCATAAGAACCTGCGAATTCACATTCATTCGTGTGATAATGATTTGTCTCTCTAAAGACAGACACATAGACATATAAGCAGTAGATTGTGTCCTTCCAGAGGAGGAAATCTACTTCTAGACTTCTAGAATCAGCATCTCCTCATCCATGGTGTCATCGGGGTGAAATGACGTCTAAAAACCTTTCACTTGTTCGTCTCCGCCCGTTTGCATGGTGTGAAATACGATCCTCCTGAAACACGGAGTGTTTTATTTTGAAAAGAAGCCGGATGTTTTATTTTGTGTCTGTGCCCGACTTCCTTTCCAGCACGGGTTAATCTGTGCTGAATTTATCCGCCATGCTCCGGCGTCCAGAAAAAATAGAACTCTTGTGATCAGCTGAGGAGTCCGGCGATCCGCAGAGAAACGGAAAGAAGTCGGTGTAAATTGACACGTTAACTTGAATGGTTACGATCTGTTGCGATCGGCGCATACCGCCTTTTCGCCGCCGTTTCGGATTCGGTGGAATTTGGAGGTTAGGGTGACCATATCCTTAATCCTCGAAAGTAGACGCTACTACGTGGGGTTCATGCAAAATTTTGAGGGTTTTTCAGGTTGGATTGAATGTTTTTTACGCGCTTCTAACTCAATTAAAGACAAAGTCTGAATTCCAAAAAATTTAAAAAATAAAAGACGAAAGACGAAATTTTATCTCATTTTTTTTTTTACTGGCGTAAGAGGCTTCCGTACAAAACCCCCGGACATTTAAAGGATATGGTAAAAAAAGACGTATGGTCACCGTAAGAGAATCGACTCCTGTGCAGAATCTGGATCTGTAAAATGTAAACATGAACGCTCCTGCAGAACCTGCAGACCCTCAGCTCGGTTTACACCAGAAGACTTCTGAGGGTCTGACAGTCAAAATCAGATCCTTCAGACCGAAATTAGCAAAGACTGAGGATCTGAGGGGGTCACCGAACACAAGACTACATCTAGAGTCCTGGTTGCAGATCTTCCTTCAGTACAAAATCTGCACAGACAGGTCTGTAAATCTGCTTTTGCTCTAGAGTTGCATATATAAAGAGCTGTTTTAGTTAAAAAGCCACAAATCTGTTTTTTTTTTCTGAGCCACACCTTCAGATGACCCTGAAAGTTGCAAACCTGCAGCATCCCTTGTTGTATTATTATGGGATGTTGGTAAAAGCCTCAGGTGGAGATTAAAAAAAACCTCTTTTGTAAGAAGAACATTAAGAGTTCATCGCTGTGATTTTTAACTGGAGGTGTTTTTTTGAAGAGTGTGAACGCTGCTTTTGTTTTGCTGTTACTGCAGCTGCTGAGAAAACCACTCAAATGTGAGAGGAGGAGGGAAACTTGTTTTGTCATTTTAAATTCACAGAGGAAGCTTCCTGAATCTGAAAGTTATTGAAATCTGACAAGTACTCTCAGGCAGTCCTTCCTGCTTCCTGCTGCTGAAAATGGAGCTGCAGAGATTTCACCGCCGCAGTGACGACCTGGATCAGTCTGCTGTCGCTCCACAATCACAGAGCTCTGACTTTTATTTTATGTCACTTTTTTCACCTTTAATTTTGCCACAGTGTGAAATGATTCAGCTAATGAGCTTTAGTCGACTCGTGGATAGAAACATCGTTTAAGGAGGAGGTTGAATCGACTCTCAGTCACTTGTTCCTCGAATAACTCAGGAAAATATTTGTTCTGAGCTCTAAATTCAATCCAGACTAAACCGTACTGGACACTGAATAAGATCTGAAAGCAGCAATAAAACAAAAACATTCAGCCAACAGATTAAAGTAAAGTTTCTAAAATAGTCTAATGTCTAATTATCTGAGTCGACCTGCTGAGCGAAGACGGTGAGGGAAATGAGACCGCTGTTCACAGGATTGTTTACTGGTCCTATTGTTTATATTTCCCTGTATCTTTCATTTGTCGATATAATGTTCTGACTATAAAGTCCACATTTATCTCCTTCCTGCTCCTCAGTTTGGTCAAAACTTCCTCTAAACTTCATCCAGTGAGAGAGTCGCCATTTTTACCGTCTAACAAGGACAGAAGTTCAAGTTCGTTAAGTTTGTCTCATTCTGTAAAAATCAGCGGAGAAATGTTTCCATTGACTTCGCTCAGGGGCGTGTCCCGACTTTTGGACAGGGGTGGCGCTGACAAAGATGGGGGTGGCCAGAGTGTCTACAGATTATCAGTGTTTACCTTCTCTG